CATGCAGAGGGGCACAGGTGTAAGCCAGCCATCTGTTCTTCTGTCTTCATCACAGTAAACAACATTTGTTCAAAGATGTTCATGTTCCCTTTTAGCTGGCCGACCTGAGCTTTAAAAGTACCTGTGTTGTCAAGTCCTGTTAAATGATCGTGAATTAACTTCAATCAGATCAGGTCAAGTCACACTGGGTGATGCCAAGCAAAGCCAGCTTATTTCAGGTGAAAACTAGTCATCCCATGTCTTAAACCCAGAGACAAAACTAGCCGTGTCTAGTGAAATTGAATAATCAATCAAATTTTAAAACAAGTAAATTAAATCAATCAATTCAAAATAAGATAAGTAAAATCAATCAAATTCAAGCCAAATAAAATCAAGTAAATCAGGTCAAGTTAACTCGAGTCAAGACATGAAAATGACTAATTAAGGCTCTGTTTGTTCCATTCAGGTCAAACAGTCTGGGTGTTTCTGTTGTGCATGTTGGCTCACTGGAAAGACTCTGCTACAGTAAATGGAACAGAACCTCAATTAGTATCACTGGTAACACCTGTGTTTACCCTACTATTTCATGCTGTGAAAAAGGTATATCAAGTCAAGTCAAACAGTTAAAGTAGTTAAAGTCTAGTAAATCAAGAAGTCGGGTCAAGTCAATTGGAATCAAAGAAATTCAAACCAAGTCAAATGAGGCAGATCAAGTCAGGTCAAGAATTCCCCTCAAGTCAAGACAAATCCAACCAAGTAAAGTAAAATTATACTCAAGTCAAGTAAAATCAAACAAAGGCTATAGGCAATTAAGTTAAGTCAAACAAACTCAAGCCAAGTCTAGACAAGTCAATTTAAGCCAAGTCAAAGTAAATCTGAGTCAAGTTAACTCAATCCAGGTAGAATCAAACTAACTTTAACAAAGTTGTGTGAAATAAAGTCAAGTCAGATAACTTCTACTAATTGACTAACTGCTTTTAGAGGAGGAAATGACATGAGAAACTAGTTAATGTGATGTCAAAAGAAGACACCATTCACATTACATGTTCTCTTTGAAATGTGCATAATATTGTAGAGAAATGTCTCTTCTTTCACAGTTCAGTGTAAACTTTTACACAGTGTCTCTTTATTTAAGCATCCTTCACACATGGACAAGCCCTGAAAGACATTTCACTGAAACTGCATTGATGGCGTGGGCAGAAAATGTACTTGCATTTAAATTATAACGTGCCTGCTGTAGTTAGTTATTACCCTGCTTACAAAAGCAACACCTGCATCTGTTGCATCCACCACCATGGGACAGACAATAATTTCAAGCATGGCATTTTCAGCCATTAGAAGCATGATGTATGATGTTCTCCATGTCTCACCCTATCTGCTGATCTGTCTGATTACACCAGTATAACTCATATCTCAAGGGCTCTTGTGTGCCACGTCTTTGTCTATAGGGCATGCATTCATCTTATTTCAGTAAGTCTGCAGACTGGTCTCAAGAATAACGGTTTGGGAGCCAGTATTGCTTATGGGCCTGTCTCACGGATCCCCACATGACTCCAGTGAAATGTTTTAGTGGGTCTGGCTCAGTGGGCCAATTTTTTTTTTCTCTGTTAAAAATTAAATCTTCTTCCACAAAGCAGACCCCAACAATTGTACTCAATATATTTGCTTTAGTTTGGATGGTTTATCTCCTTTTGAAATGTCCGGGCACTTAAAATATTTTTTTTCAACTTCGTAATTATTAGACTAAATGAACACAATTAATTGAAGTTGTAATGTTTTTGGAAATGTTTTTCTGAAATGGTCCCAAAGAAAAACACATCTGCCTCTTTTTGGTTTATAATGTGGGGTACTGTCATTCAATGTTTTTTAAAGCGTTCTTAAGCTTCCAATTTGCCCTGCGCATCTGCAGGGTGTTCAATTGATCTTTTTGAGAAAAAGAGGTTACAAATGGTTCAGCATCCTTTCTTTCATCAAACATCACATTTTTTATCAGGGAAAAAAATGAACAAAATGTTAATAGTTGCCAAACTTCAGTAACAAAGGTGGACCACTTTCCAGCTTGTGGTGTGTCAAGAAACCTGTCAAGAAAAAGGTTTTTTTTTTTAATGGAAGAAAAAAATTCATTAGTGTGGGTAAGACAACTGTCCCTGCTCAAATTAAGTAAACCTTGTTCGTTTTCCTTCGTTGGGACATTTCCACAATACTGTGAAGAATAAAATGGAAACACGTGTTGTTTTTTCAAAATTCCCAAAACAGAACCATCAGCGGGGGTCCACATCAGGGTTTGTCCTGTTGGTTGACAATTAATTTGGGACTTTGTAATTTTCATTTCCTTTTAATCTTCTATGGGCAAGAACTAGTTTTGAATATTTTTCATTTGGATTTATACATGGCGTTTAACCATGGTACAAACATCCTGGTGTTGGTGGTTTGTTGTGTGTGGTTTTGGTGTGTGGGAAAAGAAAGAGAGAGAAAGAGAAGGAGGAGAGAGGTCAAAATAGGGACAAAACAGGTTACTTTTTGGGTCTTGAACAACTAGTGCATTAATATTTTTCCCCCTGCCATACTCCAAATGAATAAATGTGCGGCAAATTGTGGGGTTTTTTTATAAAAATGGTCCATAATGGGTGAAAATACAATATTTCATTCAGGGGGAATAAAAACAACCAATAAATTTTCAAACATTTCCTGCCTTTTCCCCTGGGGTTTTTTTCGGCAAAACTAATTAATAATTCAACCATGGAAAAGTTTAAACGAACGTCCTTTTGGAGATAAGAACCAAACGGAAAGGGCCTTTCTTTTCCTGGGTTCAAACCCAAGCTGCTTTTAATAGATAAAGGAATATAAATTTCCATATACACAGGGGTGGGCATTCTAAAAAGAAATAAGTTTTCAAAGTCCCAAGTTTTTAAAAAGGTCCAGCTTTTATTGATTTTTTAATTTACTTCCACATGCACCAGAAGCCATATAAAGTATCCGAGAAGGGGGACGTTTCTCAGTCCCCTCCCCACAAGGAACCCCTGAATAAGCCACATGGGGGCCACAACAAGACACGACCCATATTCCTAATATTAAACGTAAACATTCAATTTACACAACAGAAGAACATTTACTAATGGCCTTAAGGAATAAAAAGATTGAAATAAATATAAAATATAACAATAATACAATACTTATGGTTTGGGGGTGCAACAATCTTAAATGGGTAAGTGCCAAAAAGA